CTTTCTGTCGCCGGACTTTTAGGTAGAATCCCATTATTATTATTTAAACCAAACACAGTTCTTATTTTTCAAATTAACAGGACGCTTAGACACATATTTGTTGTCTCCGTCTTACAAGATAACACATTTACGTTYAGCAGATCACGTTTAACTAAGTTAGTTAAAAATTAGAGTTAATCGGACTATTATGAAACTTGAGGGTAAGAACATTATCTKTGTTTGCATGTGGGTTTTTTACGATAAATTGGTTTTTAAGTCAGTTTTGAATATTTTAATTAACATTTTTTTATGTACGCATAAATTACAAAAAAATTGATCTATCGTATAAGATTCCCGGACGAAAAGTCCGGGGACAAAARGCCCGGTATGGAAATAGTTGGACAAAAAGTCCGGATTCATTTTTTGATTGCCAGACAAAAAGTGCGAACACATTTTTAATGTCGGACAAAAAGTCCGAAAATACAAAATTGTCTATTCAATTTTCATTTATAATTATACTGTACCGTCTGTACCTTATATTACATAATATTACTAGCTGAACCCGTGCACTTCGTAGCCCGTTAAAAATCCTACCTCTTGAATGTMTCAARYTGTTAATTAAATTCGTTGCTTGTGATCATGCTAGCAGTATTTTTTTTATACATATAGATAGATAATGGTTAAAATATACTAAGTAATAAACTTACACTGATAATCAATTTAGTTTATCATTATGTAAATTTATTCGTTTAATCAAGAAAAGTCCGACAATTCAAATATTCAATAGAATGATATTTAAGTCTGTCACTTTTTAACTTAGCCTATCTTATGCCCATAGGTATAATATATTATCTCTTTACCAAATTTCGTCGCAATTGGTTTATCCGTTTAGGAATGCATAAAGAACAGACAGAAATCCATTTTGATATATTATATAGACGATACTAATAAGTACGTAATTATAGTTTATAATCATTGCATTTTTTTTTTTTTAAGAGGACGTGATACCCGCATGTGTTGTCTCCGTCTTACAAATGCGTAACATGGTACATTTTTCGCTCAGGAGAACACGTGTAGCTCCGTTAACTTAAAAATTAGAGTGAACTGACCTCTTATAAAATTTAAAGTGAGTTATGAGTATTTTAAAATTGTAAATTTTTTG